GTATTTAAAAAAAGACTGCAAATTTCTCGCTTTGCACACTTACTGTTAGATGAAACGCAGGGCAATGGGTATTTTTGTCGGCTATTTCCTGCGTTTCACCCATCGAAGCATTTTTACCCACATAACGACTCTTCTGCTAGATCTGACCTCCTCCTCCTTCTCCTCTCCAATAATATTTGTTACATTGTAGCGCCTCTAGCTCTCCACGAGGTCTTAAAGAGTCATAATATCAAAAAAGAATATGCATAATGACGCGCAGAGGGGCTGAGGGGCTACTGGCATGGCTTGGAGGATATGCCATCCAACAGAAGTACAATCACAGAGCCTTGAGTGTCCGCGTAACAAAAACGCAGCCTTCAACAAATAGCCAAGGTATTTTACAGACCCTCTCCTCTTTGGAGCGTTTTTTTTTAGCGCTTTCCTTAGAAAACCTCCTGCGTCGACTCAGCTCTTCTGTACATCAGGAAATTGTCTTGCGTCATACTCCCACTATTTCTTTCAACTTTAGAAAAGAATTGAAGAGATACAGCACGTCCATTCTCGGCGAAGGCGATTGTACGTATCTTCCCCTCTCCGTGCACAAAATTTAGTGAACCGTAAGGAGTTTTCCCGACACAAAGTTCATCCCTGATATTTGTTAATTACACCAGTGTCAATGTTATGACAAGTTCCTTGACGGATAAAGTTAGACAGAGTTGATGTTGCCAACCGCAGGCATTTCGACGTTAGGTATGATCCAATTTCCATACCGAGGCAAGGCAGCAACACCACTCCACCAACAGATGTGTTGGACAAGGCCGGGACAAATTATTAACCTAAGAGAAATTAAAAACAGAGGAGTCGTGAAGGCAAGATACAATTACAGGCATGCAAAGTGAGGATTGGGGGAATAATTATAGCCCTTGAGCCCATTGTCTCCCTGAAAACAGGTACTGTTTTGCCAAAGTGGTTAGACTGCAAGGGTAACTTTTCAAGTATGCATGCGCCCTCTCTCTTCAACGCTAATAAGGTTCCGTGGAGCAACAAAAACATGGGCATTCTTGTGCCAGGGCAATTTTTGCCTTCCTTCCTCTGGCAAACAAGAATTTGGTCTATCCCATTAACCTAGAAGTTTGAATAGTTTGAATTGTATCAAGTGACAAGGCTACTTCTGTCAAACGGCAAGGCACCTTGTTGAGGACTGTCCAAGATTAGTAAGGCATTTTTTTATTTACCACCTATAAATGTTCCAAACCAGATCATGTTATAAGAATTGCTGGAAGAATTTGCAAGAGCTGAGGGAAAAAAAACGCTTCTGGAGAGTGCCACCTGTGCAGTCTTCGCTCCGGGTCTCCCACCCCACTTATTCCAACCACCAATCCACGTAGAGGAAAGTTTTCCAGCACGACTAGACCACCCAAAAGCAGCATAGACTTCGCTTAAATTCTAGTGCTTCTTGATTGTATCTGGTACACTGTCGGAACTCTAAAAATCTCGGTCTAACTTGTTGGAACGCTCCTCTAGGTCGATGTACTGCTCGGTACCAATTGAGAGGGGAAGGATGTCCCGGTGCTTGACGTGATCATTATCCTAGTGATCTAGGAATCACCTTAATCGCAAGCATCACTGGTGTACAGACTTGTGGCCGTATTTGGGAAGGCTTTACCACCTGATTACCTCACAACGGCTGTGTGTCCTACCATCATACTGGGCTTAAAATCGCCTGCAGGTATCAGCAGGCAAGACATCTCATCACTGCACGCCATTCTGTGAACTCCTACCCATTGCAGTCTACCATCTGGTTGAGCGAAGCGTGAGAAGGGATGCCATTGACGTGTTAAGCTTCCTCAGCTCTCCTATCCTAGTTACATTACTGGAGACTGATTATGTTATTTTGCTCGTAGATAGCGGTAGATGGTTCCCTACCACCAAAAAGGGAGGATCTTTCTAGACCCGATGCGCCAGCTATCACTAAGTGAACCGACACCAGGATCACGCTTTCAAAATCACTTTAGGAGAGTTCGTTCTACGACTGTTTCCTCTCCAAGTGCCCTGCAAAATACTGGACGAGAAGCTTTGTAAGACAGATAAGGTGAAATAGCATTTGTCCGGTTTAACAAGCAGTTTATGGGACGGGAGTTAAAGGCAAGAGGAAAGAAGTAGAGAGAACAAAGAAGAGTGCCAATGATAGACGGTTGGATGTCCCTACCAGTTACAGCGCACACGGGCGAAAATCCCACGAACTCTTTTGGGCTACCTGCCAAAAAGTACACTTAATTACAGCCTTGCGTGAGTGGCCGACTAGTCGAACGCGCATGCGGCCAAGCCTTAGCGCCTAAATCTGATAACTTACTTACTCAAGCAGCGAAAATAAAATCCCACCTTATCCCTCCACACCCACCTGCTTAATCAGCCAAATCCTATCCAGAGGCCGCCAGAAAAAAATGTGCTATTTAAGTCTTCTCAACTGACTTGTGGGGCAAATTGCGACTCGGATGATGGAGACAGTCTTTTGATTGCATTTTTGGAGGACTAAACTCGACTCCTCGTGCGGAGCTCAACTTTTTTAATTGACGGCGTTGCACCAAGCCAAAAACAACCAACACAAAGCGTGGTGGCTAAATTTCCCACCTATCGCGCGGGGTTAAAATCTCGCATCAGGCAAAGAAAAAAAATCAGTCTGTTAGATGAGATGTTTTTGTGGGGTAAAAAAAACAACGAATAGCTTCACGTATGGGTGCGCAAGTCTAGCTCCGAAACTGGCGCGGCATCAGTGAGGCTTAGCACCGACGCGAACAGGCAACACCCTGCCCACGGTCAAGTGCATTTCCTGTCCATTGGGCACACTTTTGGTTTCCCCTTTTTCATGCAGTTAACTAACTACCGGTTTTGTGTTTCATAAAGGCATTCCAAAACGCACATAAATGTCTGTTGAACCGACAGCAGTTTGTGTTTTGCGCCCTTGCAGGCCAGAGGCTTCCACGCCTGTGAGGTAGCCATTACAGTCAGTAAACACTAGACTCGGAATGATGAAAAACACTCTCAAATAAAATTTCACCTCTGTCAGTTTAAATGCGGTCCTTTTTTGTGCACAATGGAATAAGCTCTCGCCGGCTGCTGTGAACTATGCGGTGATAAATTTCAGACACAGACTGGAGACGTTTGAAGCATTAACCATATCACCGTTTGAAAGCTGTCTTTAATATAAGGATACGCAGAATATTTAAGGAGTGGCTAAAGTTTATGGATTTAATCCACACACTTTTTCTGCAAACAACTTAAATTTACATCTGGTTTTAAAAGACTATAAGTAATATACTACTTATAAGATCTCATGCTAGTTTTGTTTTGAAGAAAGTTAGGAATACGTAATAATATATTTGCAAAAAAAAAATGTGTAGCCCCCTAAAACGTCCCTGAAGACAAACAAATACATAATACGGGGTCAAAATATACATTTCTGACCTATTAAAGTGGCTGAAGAGGCTACTGGCTTGGCCTGGAAGTCAGGCCGCCTGGAGAAAGTACAATCGCGGAGCCCTTAGGTGTCAAAAAAGGAATTAAACAAACAAGCAGACTATTCCATAGCCTCCTAGCCCTATCAGTGCTAGACTGAGCTCCCCTCTTAATCAATTTTTTTGCGTTAGCCTTCATAACACAGTAAGAAAGACAGTATCTAACAGTCATCAAAATTGCGTGCAAATGTGATGATATTGAGCTGCAATATTCCTGACCTCTCTTGACAGTTCCACTGAGTCAGAGGTTTTGCTTGTTTTAGAAACTACGTTAAGGAAAGAAAGAATGTGGTTGTCATCACGTATCGCCATCGCTAGATGTAAGCACACTGACCCAAAAGCAGAGTTATTTAATGAGGGACAGTGTTTAAAATTGTTTTGTGGCGATCCTGTTATTGCACCTGTTTGCGTTTCGGTATTGCCCAGTCATATCTACCTGGGTTCTATCCAGCCAACAGAGAGGTGGAGGAGGTTTCCAGTGTTCACGTAATTGTCATCTCCATACGGATACCATAGACAGCTCCGTGACGAACCTCTCCAGATGGATCATGGCCACAGATAGTGTCCTTAAGGTGATATTAGCATTCTTGCAGAACACAGGTTTAAGTAAGCTGCCAAAGATTGACATCATTTTTAACTTCTCTGTCGGTGGTCGGCACGGATTTGTCTAACCGCAGACTATGCCCTTCTTCCGTCACGATGAGGTTTAGCATTCAGTAATGGAAACGAAGGCGGTTGCCCTTTAAGATGGACGCCGCTTTCCGCTGTTACCAACGTATCGCCCCGAGTCTTCCCTATAATCGGAAGATGTAATAATACTGGAACAGAAATTGCCTTGCCGATGTACAATGGAAGTGAGTGGGAGGCCACTGGCGTGGTCCAGAGTACGTCTCGTCCAACAGCAGTACAATCAAGGAGCCTTGACCGCGCTTGAATCCAAAATGAAGAGCAACAAAGCAAAAAATGGTGATATGTCGACTTTGAAAACTTGAATTAATCCCACTCTTCGGAGTCTAAGATTATGGAAAACATTCCCGGCGGATCATCATTATAGACAGGCGCAGCCTACGCTCATGGTGAGTCAACAAGTGTCGTGTAAATATTTTTCCCACAAGTCCTTTTTAACTTCTACCTTTAAATTTTAAGAGAGCACCGCTCTTTCAAACCAAAAAGGAAGTTATATTTCTTAAGAGTGGGGAGTCAGCAAGACAAAGTCATTTGCATTTTTTATGGAAGATGAGATGTTGTGACTTGCCAATAATTTATACTCATGAAAGTGGAAGTGGAGTCAAAGGCCTGAACAACGCAGTGGTTTTGATAACGGCGGCAAAAGTGTTTTTGTGGTTTGGGTTTTGGTGGGGAAGTCAAGCACGTGACGAAACAGCTGCACGCTCGATGTCGGTGGACTGGCGCGCGCCGTTCTCTCCGCCTTACCCGCCCACCCGCCAATGTCCCTGGCCCAACTCCAACCTCCAGCAGAACAGTTTTTTTGCCCATGAGTTAAAAATGTCTGTCCAAGTTAGTACACGAATTGAGGATACAGATACTACTTCTAAAATTCGTTTTGTTCTTTGGAACTTACAAGTGAGGATTTTCGCCCGTTGTGTCAACTGTGCTTTAATTCGGAGGAGACTCGGTGGGCGGTTGGCCTGCGTAGCACAGGTGCATACGCTCATTCAAAGAGGATTTTTTAAAATAGAGTAGGAAGAAAGTGGAGCCCTGGGTGTGGATCTTGGCTCAAATGGGATGGGGCGGGAATTCTGATTAGTTATTCCTCCCACCATATTACCGTGGAAACAATTCACCGGTAAGTCGTCGCGAAGAGGCATACATTTTCTACTTTCCCTGATCCATCAGCCTTCTGATGCTGTGTGATTAAGATTTTTTAATGAAAGGGAAGAGGCTTTCTAATAGTTCCTCTTAGCTACCTTCAATCAGTCGCTGTACTAGTACAGCGTTGGAATCGAACGTGGAAAGTCGAATCCACTAAAGACTTCTCAAAGATTGGATGAAAGAGAGTTCCGTCTATTATGTCTTCCAGATAGCAAGACCGCCGATTGTCTTGAGGGTCCAGACAAACCTGTCGGATCACCGCTGACCTTAAGGATATCTTACTCATGACTGACTGTGCCACGGTGCTGAAGCCTCGGTACATCCAGAAATCTGAATAAATTTCTGTGAATAATGATAATACAACACTTTGAGACTAAACTTTATTCCAGCTTAAGCAGCCACTGGAGTTTCCTTAAAGCAAGTACTCACCTTAGACCTGAACAACTGCCCATAAAAGGGACCATTTGACTGTTAGACATCACAATTTAAATCAGCATCTTGAGGAGAGTTGCTGTTCTACTGCTTCTTCTGGCATCGGAGGCTCAAAATATTCACCCTAGCTTATCATTCATCCTCATCATCCTCGTTCCATAGCCGCTGGCATGCCTGTCAATTATTAATATGTTCTGATAAGTGGAAAAATCCTTTTAGTAAGGGTCTCAAACACTAAAAACTGAAGTGTTTTGCATTAAAAGATAAGTGGTGCTAGAATTTGGTTTGAAGTATCTCAAATGTGGCAACAAATGTGTTGGCGCCGTCCTCGCCGAAGTGGGTGGGAGGTTATGGAGATGTGCCGCCAAGAAAGGAATGTGCAACTAGCCTCCCTTGATGTTGTAAAATTACCATCAAAACAAGTGCGCGAGCGGCAAATAAGTATTTGTCCGTATCCAGCAAATACGAGGGGTAGAATGATTGCTGTGTAGGCGGCACACTCTCCTGTCCACCTCCGTTCAGCTACGATATTGCCCGGGCGATTTATTCATCTGACATCAGGTTAGTGCAGTTCCCCATAACCTACACTTTATCGTTGAGCTTAGCAACTTTCTAGTACCTTATAAAGAAGTTTATTAATGCACATTAGTACTCCTGGACACGGGCGTTCGCAGTGTTTTTCTGCGCAGGTCGCAGAGCTGCCTCCGCATAATGCATCCATTAGACTCCGGGTAAAACGAAGTTCGCCTTTTTTGAAGGACTAACTGATTATTGTGTTTCCTTGAGACAAAAACAAAATCTTGGGGTAAAGTAGTGTGCCCCATGGTAATGTATCATACTGTTGCATGTTATTAAGTTAGACTGAAAACCGAGAAAAGACGATTGAGGGACTGGGACTAAGCCATCCTCTTGATAGGCGATTTACAAACACTAAGCTTGGAATACTTATGTTTTATGCGAAAAGCTTGTAATACTTGTATGAATTAATTAAAAATCGGAAGTCGACCTACTTTAACAAGTTTATTACTGACGTCACACATATGTGACGGATTCAACTTATCACTTGAGCTCGAGACTACAAATGCGCAACGCACTTTCCCCACCAGCTTTTGATGAGATAGATTCAGAGTTCTTCAGTTTTAAGGTAATCATTGACGAGTTACCAACGAATTGATCTAAAAGTTACCAACATATGGCATCATATTACAAAAATAAAACATCCTGATTAGGTCAACCTCCCCCTGAGACCCTGGTTCCAGCCATTTTGTATATTGCAAAGCCTTCCAGACTCTGTTAAAATAAATTGCATTTATTCCAAATTCCTGTTTTCTACTAAAAATTATGGTAAGCTCTGGCGACCAATCAAAAAGAAGAGCAATCTTTCTGTCCATCCATTCACAGAGAGTGCGTATACCACTTTGGAGAGGTCGAACATATGACCGTGTCGTTGTTGTAATGCGCTAATTGTGTGCTTAACCCTCGGTTTTTGTAATCAGCCGCTTGAGAGCTTCGTCAGCTCAGCCTTTGGATCATCCCAGTAGGCTCAAAGCCTCTTTGTAGTTTAAAAATATTTATTCCGCCCAAGTATAATGTCTCCTGTTGTCCTTAAGGAAGTCTCGCGCCACAACATCCATTGCATAAGTCCATTGTGGTCGCAACTTGTTTGTCACCAGCGTCACTAACGTGCTTTGTCTCTGCCAGTTTATAATACATAACTGGATTGAGCTTAGGTCAGCAAAATGGATAAGAAACATTTCTAGGCTGAAGACAATTAGTTCTTATGGTTTTACAATAGCCTGCGTCCTTAATGAATGCACCTCTTATGGGCGGTGACGATTCTTTTTTCCTCGGATATAGAAAAGAAGGCGTTTTTTTTTGATAAGGTAAGCAGGAACAATTACCAAGAGCGGCAGCCCTAAAATGGCTGCCTTTTGAAGCGGAAGGTGCCTTGTTGTACACAAAATTAACATTGGCATTCCAATAGAGTGAAGTCGTATTATAGTTGCAACGTTTTTCTCCACTCCTTCATCTTTTATTTTATCCGGCCTGCGCACTACCACCTACTTGGTGTGAAAAAGATACTCCTTCTAAAGCTTACTACAATATAAGACAATGAGACCCAAATGGGCTAAGTTGACTGGCTTAAATGATTTGGATTTGTTCGTGGAATTTTGGACTCCAAAAATTTGCATACTTCAGGACGGTAAGTGCAATGAACGGTAGAGCACAAATAGAGAGATCAAAAATGACTTAAAAAAGCACAGTTTGTCAAAATCCTACATTTTATTCACTTGTGGTTATTTATACGGATTATTTAACCCAGTTCTATGGCCTCTGCAATTCTCCTCCGATCACATGTGCTTTTCTGCATGCTTTTGTAAATTATTTACAACTACAAATTGTGTTGATGACATTACTGCAAAAAGTATATCCAGAAGTACGATTTGGCAATGACTTGCAGAGAAGCACAGATATGGAATCAGCTCGCAGAGATAGGGAAAAGTGCGAATCAAACTGTATCCTAAGATTGATTGTTTGCACCACTGCTTCGCTTTATCTGTCTTTCCTGCCTTCAGGAATTCCATGGCAAAAGAAATATGGATTCGTGCATTACCTGATGTCATAAAAACGACTAAGCCGTTCCCCCAAAGAAGAACGTAAATTTGTGTCCGCTTACTTAATCACTCCCTAAGTGATCCTGTTCAACCTAGAATAATTTACACATTTAGACATGAATACTACTTTAAGAGTAGTAAAGAAAATCAGTTTACGCTTACTCACTTTCTGCAGGAAAATAGGTTATTTCTTTCTGGCTTTAAACTGCCGGCATAAACTTCGCGCATCTCGTCTTCCACAAAATAATCCTTCTCACATAAAACACCATATTTTTACATCCACCTCCAGCTTATATTTAGGGAGAAAATGCACAGTAGACCTTTTGTTGCCCAACTCTGTGTCACTTTAAAGCACGTGGAGAGCGGAAATAGTTAAACGTTTTGAGAAGGCACTGACTTTTACGCACGCGCTGGAAGAGGACATCCGTTTTGCTTAGTAGCCCGAAGTCCATTTTAGCATCATGTGGTAAAAAATTCTCCATTAATTTCGTTGGCCACTATTTAAAATATCAGTTTTGGTTCTTTAATTGTCTTGTGTACACATATGTTAATATGTTAATATATATGTTAATAATGTTAATAATATATATATGTATAATATATATATACCTAAAATGCACTGATTATTAACATATATATTATATATATTATATTATACATATATAATGTATATGTTAATAATCAGTGCATTTTAGGTAAAAAAGTCAGCATTCGGCTGTAATTTCCTCTTAACCACGCATATTCTACAAAAATGGGGTAGTGCGCAGAGTTTACTTTTTACCTAAGGATACTTATAAATAAGAAAACATTTAAGACTTAAGTACATATTGATTCCCGTGGAATTTTGGCCGTTTAAAATGAGCGGCAGCCATCATGGTAAATATTAGTAGTGCAAAATATGAAAAAAGTAAAAAATCGTAACATTATGTGCGATCTTTAAGCTTGTTTAACACAAACGCTTTGCATGCTCTAAATAGGAAACGTTTGATATTTTATAGAGCCTGTGAGACAAAAGAGTAATCGAACTTAACTTAACTTTCCATCCATTATGGCTAATTTGGACTACAACTGAATGAGGTTTTGTAGGTTGCAAGAAGTTCTAACTAAGTGCTGTCTTTTTAATATTACTTCTACTTCAGAATAAACAAACTTCAACATTCGTATTATTGCATACAAGCAATTCCTTAAAATGCTATTTGGCTTCTAATGTTATTATGCTTTTGCCAGAAGACGAATCCTCTGGTGCCTATACCACATTTAGCAACTTAAGCTGCGACTTCTAAAGTAACTTAAAACAAAGTCAAAATGTTCTTAGGCATTGCAAGTTCCGTTCCTGATTTTATGCTCAAAATGATATAAAATCCAGAATTTGTGATGGTGTCTATTCGTGCGTGTCAATATTTATTGCCTGGTCTAGTACAGTGGTAAGTTTCGCCTCAATGAAATTGCGAATCTCTAACTCAATTTATGTCGCCATTTTACGACTGACCAGGTATAACTTTGAGTTTTCTGATTAAAAAATTAGAATACACAGTTCTTGGTTTGCAGAGCCAGATCCTTATCGCTGTGCCTTCGTCAAGCTTGAAGCAATGAGCTTGGAACAACCAGTGTACACTTACCCGCTAAAGGTATGCAGCAAGTAGTGTCCTGGTTTCGTGTCTTCTAATAAAGTAGAAACTACCTACCGCTTTTGTAATCAACAAATTGGAACTAGATCTTGTGAGGTACTTCAACTGAAAATATCTTACAAAGGATGTCTTTAAAACCCTTACCATTTAAAATGCCAAGTAACTTATTTGAAAAAGACTCCTTTCGGCATTGGTTAGAATTGGAGCATAATTGTAGCGGCCCGAGGGATAAGCCACTATCGTATTACATAATATTCCGACGCAATTTTATTTAATCGAAAAAGGAGAGGTTGTGTAATTAACATCAGAAATAAGGTACTCAATTGCTCTTTGGAATCCTATTGAACACGGGCCAATAATTTTAAGTTTTATATTTTGTTATGCTACATTTTTGCGTTGCTCGATTCCATTGACAATACAAGAAACAACCCGGTATCTCTTCTTGCTCTCTGATAAATATTATTACTGATCCGGCTTATGGGCTACGAGACACATTTGCGTCCTTCACTTGTAAATTATGCAGCAAGTCCTTACTCAATTTTATTTTCGGATTGGAGGAACTTTTCCTAATTCAATACGTTAGAAAAAAAAAAACGAAACTAGCACTGGCTTGTTTTAACTGATACTTGTGCCCCTTCAAATACGAATCCTACCCACATTTTTTAAAGAGAACACCAGAAGTGCCCCCCTAGAATTTAGATCCCTGTTATAATTATGCTGTATCAAGTGTAATGATCTGTGTGTTTTTGTAGATTACCTCAAACGGAAGCCGTTTATCTACACGACATAATCGGGAGACTTTGATTGGTCCCTGCATCTCCTTACGGAATCATAAAATTTTACATCATTTACGCACGGAAAAGCAACATTAAATGCAACTTACGGGCAGGCGTTTAAGTAAGCAAACTTACCGGGAGTAAATTTTGTTCTTTTTTTCACGCCATAAATTGTATTTTATCGTGCTGGCTGTGGTGTCAGTTTGCACTGGATAATTCAATTGTTCGTCAGGTCTTTTCAAGCGCGCTATTTCAAAATCGAGATTTGTGAAGAAAAAAATTCCTCTTAAACTAAGTTTTCAGTGAGGTTTTGTTCTTAAAGGAAGCGGTTTTTACGCTGCCTTATTGTGTGTGTTTTCAGGTGCTTCTGGCCACATTTTTTTCAGCCTTTTCCCCTCCCCCCCCCCCACTCTCCTCCGATTTGAAACCACCTACGGTGAATTTCTCATGCTCTCGCTGACGCAGACATAATCTAGTCTAACTTGCAAATTTCAAGTCGAGGTAGTGAAGCCAACAATTTTAGTGCCTACTCTGTGTATTATACCTGTAGGAGTCCACTGCTACTACAAACTGTCTCAGTTTATGGTGCTGTTAGGACAAATTAGCCTTCGCCATCAAACTATTTTCTTTTTCTTACAGTATCCATGGCAAACGCACCCCTTTTTAGGTCCCGGCCCCTTTACACCAGGAGTTTCTTATTCCGCTGACGGAAGCGCCAGACGTGGTGGGCAATAAGGCGACATCTTGTTGACAATTCTCACCGGAAACAAGGCTGTTGTTGCTGTAGCCTAATCACGTGCCTATGTGGGGTTTCGGGAGCACATAATACGACTTCGCTGGAGTTAGGCATAATCGCACAAAGAATCCAAAACTCTAGAACTTAGCGTCTTAAACATACTGTTGTAGCTGCTGTGGCTTAATTGCCTCCATATTACAGACTACTGAGCTGGGTGGAGTCTGGTGTGGGTTAATGCATCCGCTAGCCTCACTAGACGTGAGAATCAACCATGCATCGGAAGCCGTTGGAACAGGGTAAATGCCCATGCAACGCCCTGATTCACATTTAGGACTTGTGATACCTTAAAAGTGAAGGGTTTGCCGCTAACACCCTTTGGGACTTTTATAGAATGGAATATACCATTTGAATACCACCCTAGTCCGCACCAAACGCCTTAAACCTTGACAGTTATGCAACAGGGAAAGTGGGGTATGCTGAAATAATATCCAACAGTCTCTCTAAATGTGGTTTTGATTTTTTTTCTGTTTATGCAATTTTTCTTCCGTGGAGGAACAAATTGTTGGAAAGGATAAAAACCGTCACTGTAATATGCGTGACAAAATTAGTGGGAGACAGGGTTGAATGTCTAAACAGTTTTGCTTACCAGAAAAGGATTTGTAATTTTCGCGCCTATTCATACCTAAAGAGGAAAGAGGGTATTATACCGGGACAAGAAATGATTTGACGACGTGCAGAAGGGTCGAGGGTGGGGAGACTGGGATTACTGGCCTGGCCCAGAGGTCATGTCGGCGTAACCAAAACCGAGACATAAACAAACAACCGACGTATCATCCAACATCTCCCTTCATTTGGGCGTCATTCTCGGCGCCCCCCTTGGTAAACCTCCTACGTCAACCGTCTCAAAGTAGTCGATGCTGTAAGAACGAAAGCACCCACAAACCAACCGCAAAAGGCATCGCATTCACCTGAGAAGGTCTCTAAGCTCAAGGTCGCTTATTTTTATGGTAGCTCTACTACATCTGCAGTTCTGCCCTACTTAAGACCTGTTTTGGGGAATGGATAGAATGTGGTAGTCATCGCGTGTTTCTACCGCTAATCGTAAGAGCACTGGCCCAAAAGCGGAGTCACTTAATAAGGTACGGGGTTTAAAATAGTTTCGTGGGGCTAAGGAATGGCGTCTCTTCCTCTTTTTTACTTTATTCTCACTTCATTGTTGCCCATCTGCATGTTCATATGGGTTTCCTCTAAGTAGTAGAGAGGTGGAGGAGGTGCTGTGTACTCACATCACTGACATCTTTCCGTGGTTTGCGGCTAGTGTCCCATCAGTTGTAAATAGCTTTCGTGCAGACCACAAGGCTTGAGTAGTTGCCGAAGGTAGATGTTATTTTCAAGCCTTCTGTTAGGAATCCTCACCGATTCTCCCATCTGCTGCCTATATCCTTCCTCCGTCAAGTTAAGGCTTGGCATTCAGGTATGGAAATTTGGGTAGTTGTCCCTTTGGTTTGAGTTTACTGCCTTCTGACACCCATGAAGAGACCCGAGTCCTCCCCAAAGGCAAAAGAAGTCACATCAGTAGGACAGAAAATGCATTTCTGACGTACAGAAGAGCTACAAGCATGACCCAAATGCCAAGCCGACCAGCGGAAGTCCGATGGCGGAGCTCTAAGTGCTCGCTTAACTAAAACGAAGAGTCAAACAAATAATTAACGTAGTACGTGTGACAAGTGAATGTCCTCCTTATTACTACTATTTCTAGTGGCAATGGAGATAACTCTCAAGCTAGCTTCATTCCCCACATGTGTGCCCAGAATGCCTGGGAACCTATTACCGTGCGCGGTATGGGTAGATTTTATACCGTCGTCATGGAGAATTAATCAAGAGAGACAAACAGCCACATAAAGCAACTAAAGCAAAAATAATTCTGCTAATTACTTTCCCATTTCTTTCTGTTCCACCTTCTATCCCAGTCAGGCGGATTGATGTTGGCTCCGAGGAGGGGGTGAGGATCACACCCTTAATCCCTTTTGCACCGAGGCACATGAAAGTGGAAATGTCTCCCATATTCCAGAAAGATTTTACGTATTGTGACTTCTTAAATGGAAATAGTCATCCAATTTTTCCTGTGCGAGGGGAAGCGGCTTTAAAGAGCATCTAGGAGTGAAGCTGGTGTTCTGTCCCAAATTCCAGCGCTCCATCCACTTTGTTACCACTTTAGTATCCATTAGCCGTCTATCCGGGTTACCGAGTTCCCTCTTTTAGGGTGGTTGGACATCAAATTCTCAGGCCTCATGCCGTAAACAGGTTTACAGCAATTGCGTCCACCTTTTTGGTCGTGGACCTCTCTTCCCCGTTCTGCCCACCTTCAGGGATACGCAGGTGGCGGCAAAATAGTAGCATCACAAGTAGGAGGAATGGAATTCCAATTTTTCATAATTTTAATGATCAAACCTTACTCGAATTCTCCGTCTTCACGCTGTGGAAGAAGAGTTGGACAAATAAAAGACACAAATGACTACTAAAATTCAGGTACACGGCGCTCGCAGCCTTCCTCACTGGCATGAACTGAATACTGAAATCCCCGACTTTTCAAAAAAATTTGCCTAAGCTTAGCCTCAGCGTTTTAATCGCGTTGGACTTTTCAAGTCCACTTAAAAATATGCGAATCGGATGACCGTACACATGTTCCATATGGAAATTCATTGGTTCTTATCTGTCCTGATTGTTACCATCAGGTTTTGCTACCTCCGCAATTTCGTTTCTTCCTCATTTTTCCCACCGTAAGAATGTTGCATTGCATGCTTTCAGCCTTTTAAAAATTGTTCCCACCATCTCTTCTTGGTTAAAACTAGCAGTCTGAGACGACAGTTATGACGAGACTTGCCTGCTCCCTCCTTTTGTGCAGCCTCGAGGTTCGTTTATGGTGGCGCTTCAAGAGCCATTTCGCAAATGTCTTGTGGCTTGGCTTAAAAAAAGGAAAATGTCTATAGATAACTTTTCTTTCTCACTCCTTACAACTTCGTGTAGGGTGACTGTTTGAAAAGACTTAAAAAATGTTCCTGTGTAGTGGCTAAAATTAGAAACACTTTGAGTGGTCTTCTTCACCATTTACCGGACTAGTCTCTGCAACTCTTACCTAAGATTACTAAAAAAGTGTTAAAAATGTCCTTATTTCCCTCAAATAAGATTATTCTGTGGCTGTATTGTATTTTTAAAGCCCAGTCGGTCTTTTTGAGACGAAAGATTTGATTCTCAAAAAATGATAGGTTACATGTCACATATGTGTGACGTCGGATATGCTATTTACAATGCTGAGAACATTTGGGTGAGGATTTTTATGAGAAGATGGAACGACTGTTTTTAAGAGGCGTAAACAAAGTCTTTACTTGGAATTTTGGCTACCGGTTTGCTTCAGAATCAGTCTTTCGGTTATCCTCTCAAGCCTGAGATACGGAATTGAAATATGGAAGCTGCTTAAAAAATTGAAGGAGCTAAACTGCTTTTAATTGGTGTCCTCCCTAGTTTTGTGATTGAATGACACTGAGAACTATAAATGCTACTCAAATTCGAAGTAAGTGACATAGACCGTCCATTTTTAAAGTAGTGGGGTAGGCCTTCAAAAAAACACCTTTAAAGTTGTGAAGAAGTTACTAATAATATTTCTCTAACTTCTACTACTCTTAACTTTCAAAATTAATGACAAATTACTAAGAACTTTACCCCTTCAAATTTCGCAAGCATTGTGGTGTTTAAGACGCTGTGCACTCCCCATTGTGTTTGTAAATAAATAGATAATTAGTATTCTTCCTTCTTACCGAAGGTTAATTATTTTTTACGAAAAATGTTTTTACACTTCTTTGAGAGCCTTAAGCTGCTTCGCTCCCGATTTTCAGAATGTCAACCATGATTTGAATCACTTTTCTGGTCGATCCGAAAGGGCAATCTTCCCAATTTCATTATTTTGCCGCTTAGTTTATCCTCTAAAATTCTCACACAGGACTTCATAAGTCTATTTAATTTCAAATATAAAGCTTATATAACGCACGCCTTTCGTGATTTCTGAAGGTGAGATGACCTTTTTAACTCCAAACCGAAATTAGTTTGGGAAAGAATTTCTTGCCGATCTCATGATTCTTTAGAGGAAAAGGTTATTTGGCAATTACCTCTTCTTTAAGTGATTCGTTAAGTATGCTACTACATTTTAAACTAATGTATTAGTTGGATACATTGCCTAAATCTTTGTTTTGGTTCCGCGGACACCTAAAACTCTGCCTTTGTACATCTGCCCAGCACTATGGCCTCAGAGCCATGCTTGCAGCCACTCAAACCTTCCGTACGTCAGCAATACATATTTTGTCCTAGTATTACCTCTTCTTCCTACTTCGAGGAAGACTCGAGTTGCCACATTGGTGGCAGGTGAAAGCACATCCATCCCAAAGGACGGTGGAAGGGTATATGCCAAGGGTTAAGAATGGCGTCGGCCTTCAGCAACTATCCCACTATTAACAACTGAAGCTATACTATCAATGAACCACCTGGAAGATGAAGATATCAACCAAGTGAACAGGCGATGTCTCCTCCACTTCACTACTAGCTGGATAAAACCCAAAATTAAGCGAGAACAAGGTGAAAAGAAGGAATAGACGTAGTAACATATCCCACGAAACTCTTTAAGTCCAGTTCCGCATTAAGTGTCCCGGCTTTTAAGTCAGTGTTCTTACGGTTAGAGATGGACATGCCTAATAGCCAGCACAGTCTGCCATCCCCAAATAAGGCTTCCAAACAGGGAGAAGTTCCACATATAAAGGAATTGTTAAGAGGAATCATTAACGTGGTGGTTAAATACTTCCTCTGCTGCACCAAATTTGACGATTGATGTGGTTGGTTCGTGGGTGGTTCTCTTACCCACAACACCGACTACGGTTTGACAGCCGAAGTGGGATGCTAGCCAAGAGGGACGCCAAGGACGACGCTCAAAAGAGGTGGCGAGGGAGGCTATGTAACTCTTTGATTATTTGTTTAACTCTAGGTCATGGTTTTGTGAATCTTGGACCTCCGTCATTGTACTTCCGTTGGGTGGCATGGCCTCCGGGCCATGTTAGTACCGCCCGGCCCTTCTGTACATCGGCAATACATTTTCAGTCCCAGTATTGTCTTCTTTCCTCCTTTAGAAAGACCCGAACTGGTTACTCCAGCAAACGCATTCTATTTAAATTACCTAGTCTAAAATAAGCTTGGATGTCACTGGTCCCCAACCTTGTCATCTACTTATTAACATTTATACCCAGCTTTTGTATCACCTCCTTACTGGTGGCACAAATTTCTCCATTCCAAATTCCAACTAATTAAGGGCTCTTCTGTATGTGCTCAATAGCTCCCAACTTGCTAGTTTAACTGCTTTTTAAAATCTCTGGCCTCTATCAAAGCATGTATCTCTGGCGAAGATCAAAAGGACCACCGACATGAGGGACGGACCTCCGGTGATGTGGATTAATCTCCAAAATAGAACTATGCCTCCTTTACGCCCTTTACACTGGAGTGAGATTTCATATGGGGTTTTGCGGGGACTGGTATCCGTTTTTTGCATAATGGAAACGATGAATGAAAGGAATGGCTAAGGATAAGAAGTTGGGTAGGCAGAGTCCTCTCTATCGATGGTTTCTGTGCTGTTTGTTGTGATTTGGAAATAATTGAACTAAAGCACTGTCTACGTGGCAGTGGAGGAGCTCCTCTTGAAGCATTGCCTCTCCCAGGCTCTCCTCGCCCTGACGGGCCGAGTAGAATTGGCGCTGAGTCACGGTTCTGAGGGCTCACACATAATTGCTTCGGCATCTCAGGTTATACCGTGTTGGATTAAGAAGGGATTACATAACTTACAAACAAAGTCCTTTTTCTCTAATCCACAAGCCTGTTTAAATCTCCGTTTTCAAGAAAGGACAAACTGAGTTGCTGTGGGGAAGATTGGGAGTGACTAAAGACGTAGCGATTGCAGTAGACAGATTCTACAGGAAACTCAAATTTCATGAAGGAGGAAGGAATGAAATCTCCGTTGGAGAAGAGCGTGCGAATTTACGAGTTGAGGTAATCTCACTCCCCCCCCTCCGCCCTCACGACTATACATACGACACGTGATCATTGTCAAATTATGATAAATGACCAAATTTCTTTTGAGAATCCGATGGTTGAAATGTCAAATAGCAGATTTTTTGCCTCTACTGCCCCTTTTGACATAAATACAACTGGTTTTTATCAGATTTACCCGTCAGAAACTCACCTTTTCAGTCGTTTCACGTTTGACATTTCGTTGCGTCAAATAAGGCAGAGAGATTGAAGATACACAAAGGCATCAGCCAAAAAAACTAAAGCATGGATCATTGGTATGTCAGACCTCGAAAGAGAGGGTAGTTCGGCTTAGGAAGATGCCAAGGCAACAAAATACTTAGTCCTCACGGAAGCAGGAGGGGACAGCAGAGGCGCGGTGGTCGGTAACCAAGGCGTCAAGGTTATCGTGCTCACCGTCATGGTCACTAGCCTGAGCCATGACTTTTTGTCCTCAGGCTCGATTTGGGTTGCTTCAAAACTTTATTTGGCAACCTTGACCTTAAACCCTCGTTGTGTGTAGCACATTCTCAGCCGTTATTCTGAAAATAGCTTACCGCCTAAACGACGATCGGGAATTCGAAAATTCTAATTCCAGACTGCTAGTCACAGCATACAGAAGACAAATTCTTTACGTAGTAGAAACTTAGCAAAAAAATTGGACAAAACTCAAAGAGCATCCTTCTTCTCTTCACCGCAGTGCCAAAATAGAAACAACGATTTTGTAGATTTCCCGCAGGCCGAAGCAATTCAAGCACACAGGTCTTTCACGCGGCTAAGGAAACGGTTACCCGGCTTAGATTAAAGGCAGTTGGCACAATTCATTCGCTGGTTACAATGATTTGCCAGGTTTTTCTAAGATCATTGCCTCCAGCTCTTCTGCTCGGTTGAAAAACCCGTTTCTTAAGTTATCCACAAAACTGGATTTCTTATTCTGAATTTAGTTTGATTCTTTAAAATAGGTTAAGTCACGAATGGGATGCTTTGCCTACTGGTCCTCAATGTTTACTCATATTATTTAAGTAGACAGCTCATTAAACAGGTTGACCAATTGGATAAGATTTCTTTCAGCATATTTTCCAGCAATCTTCAAATTTATTAATGTTCTGAGGCCGTAAAGGTGATTGCAACGACAACCAACTCAAATCTGTTAGTTGTATGTTGGTATATTTTTGTCCCAGGTAAATCCATATATCAACTGAAAAGGGTGCGAAAAACCGGGTCATTTCAGCGGGCAATGGATTAACGACGGAATTTTTTCTGACATCGCAACTTAATTTTTCTCAACCTTGTAGTCATGGCAATAAGTTTTAAGCCTAAAAGTTATGTTTAGCTTCAGCCGGACTTGTGGGTGAAGGTGTATGCGCGCAGACGCACGAGATCAAACGAGGAGCGGGGCCACGGTGTGCTTCTGCCCACTAAGACGGTGTCGACGCTCTCTCTCTCGCTAGTTTTGCACAAATCTATAAACACCTAATCGAAGGAAAGGCTAGGTTCCTTCCTCGGTCTCTGACACATAAACAAAAGCAACGACGCATGTAACTTGGCCTGTGTGATTGCCCTGCCAGAAATCACTTGTGATTGCAATGGCGACAAGCCACTGACTCACTGACTTTATTCCAAAATCGACTAAAACTTACGTTTTTGTTTTTCAGATCTCCTAAAGGTCCTCCAATGCTTTGTTTTTTTATCTGCATTCACTCATAACGTGGCAGCTTAAAGCCCCTGCGATGATCAAAGCGCTGAAGCTGTCTAGTACCAGAATTTGACGGCGACTGTAAAGCCACGCAGAGACGGGGAGTTGGTGTTTATTTTAATCAAAATAACACTACTTGAAAACATACATCACCTTTTGGTTTAGACATCAGTGGCCGACTTATCGATAACAAAAATACGTTTGCTTTGACAGAGTGTGTCGCTTGGCTTGTCATCAAGTCAAAATACACCCCATAGGCTTGCAACTAAATAGCGCGCACATTTTCAAGTGTGGTAGGAAATAAAAAGCCTTGCTTTGAGCGGTACATCATAGGCGCAGTGGTGTCTAAATAATTTACAGGAAGAAGAGTGATCACCTTTTAACTCTCCTCCTACATACGAGAGAGCGGTTTCTTTACAAGTGCGTGTGATTAGGATGGTGCGTTTCTAATCGTGCGGCCCCTATTTTCTTCTCGATCATTCAAACCTGTTTTGGAAACAAAAAGCTAAAATGAAACAACTTCTGAGGAGACCAACCCCTCCTCCTCC